GGGCAGAGGGCAGATGACACTTCAAGCACTGCCTGCAGAGAAATATTAATTCTTGTTCACACCTTTTATAGGACTGCAGATGCCACTTCCCCGTCCTCTTTACACAGACATCTAGGGGCTTGTCAGACTGTTTATTTTCCTTGCTGTCATTCTGTGTTATTTTCTGCTTACACTGCACCCATCTTTCTGCAATATTGACCCAGTATTCCAGCAGAATGTTACTGTAGAGGCTATGTGTCAGATACAGATATGAGGGCATTAGAGCCACCCTTATTTTTAGCATGGATACTGTGTACTGCACATGAATTAATGGTTGGAATAGTCTTGGTAAAACTGCAGAAGATATCATTTTTAAGGATGGATGCTCTTAGACATCCCGAAGAGTCTTGCCTTTCTTCCCTGCACTTTGGCAGGATCTCCGGTATGACCCTGGACTTATTGTACTCCCTCATTCCAGAGAGAAAACAGTAAGGAAAAACAGTTTTTGCTCTGACAACTGATGAGGCTAGATTTATGATCATCAACTGCCTGTGGGTTTGTTGGACTGCTGCTAGATCAAGCCTCTCAGATAAACACTCAGTATGTGTAAATCTTCTCTTTTGGCTTGAGAAAGTCTTCAGTCAAGCTTGTAAATGTAAAAACAGAATGGAGAGAGGCATGTAGGAGAAGTTCCGCAATGTTTGGAGACTATGGAGTAGTACACTGGCCAAAGATCCATCCTTGTAAACCACATACCCCTGCTGATCAGCATATGTTGTGTTTTGGGTTGGGATGGGATGCTGTAGTGCTAGCATCCCCACCAGGCTTCATAACTAGCTTAAGCTAAAACTTTGGTCTAGAGTTTGCTAGAGAACAGCATGCTCTTGTGCACTAGATAGGCCAGCAGCCAACCAACTCAGAAAGGCTCAACCAACAAGAAAATCCATGATAGTCTAAGCTGGTCTTTTCAACAGGAAAACTCTGGACATCAAGCTGTGTAACACTACCAAGAAGCTAGCAAGAAAATTCTGTGTCTGTTAATATTTCTGTTGAGTGTTCCTGGAATATCCAGCAAAATGTATCTCCTGATGGTAGATTGATAAGGTTTCTAGTCGGTCAAAGCTGGTAATTAATGGTCATTGGCTCTTTCATACTTTTAGGCAGGTTCTTCCAGCAAGGAATGGATGGACAAGAGTAAAGCTTCCTCAGTTATTAGGTTCAATAACTGCAATAGCAAGCATTATTGCTCGAGTCATTGGTAGTACAGTGATGTTACATAAATAGAGGCACTCTCAGGGTAATGTTTGTAATTCTCTCTGTTTGTTAGACCTTTACTTCTCTCTGCACTGTTTTCTCTTTGCCCTTAATCTTCTCTTTTGATGTGGCCTGTGTGATGGAGATCTTCAGCAGGTATAGGGGACTTCCCTTCCCTTCTGCTATCAGACATGTCTCAGCACTCTGCAACCCGCTCTGTTTCTCTCTCTATATATATTACATATCTGTTATTGAAGGCTCAAGACTGCTCCAATTCCCTGCTGTCTCTCCTGCCTGCATATAGTAGTAGCTGCCTGTCTCTCTCTCTGATGGAGGACAGAAGATATCCTACAAAGTGTCTCTCTGCCCTGAGCCTAGTACATACAGGCGGATGTCAAAAGAAAGGCACAGAGATAAAACACAGGAATGATGCTTGTGTTTCCTCGTCATGCCAGATCTGTTGTAGAGATAGCAAGAGGCGCAGCGTCACTCTTCACACCAGATATCTTGATTCAGGTTTATACCACCCCTCCCAGGGTACATACCATCACCTTCTATGTATACATGGGGCGATGTTGCCCATCTTTGCCTGTGTGTTTCATTCAAGGCTGTTGTTATTGTTGTAATTATATATTATTATTCTGGGAGTGAGAAGATTCTTTCCACTGATGGCATAGGGGCACTGCAGAGGGCTTGTTGGGACTTGCGGACAAGACACGATACCCTTATAATCCTTGGGCTGAAGAACCATGCACACATATGTTTATAGCCATTGCATGCATATTTACTTTTGAGATCTACTAAGTTTATGACTAATCTTTGTAAATTTTCTATGAAATCTGTTTTCAAAAGTGTGTAGATTTATTAAAGGCTTATCTGCCTTGCTCCCTCCTTGCCTGTCATACCGTATTTTGTGCTTGTCAAGTGCAGACCCCTTTATCACCCAGCTTTTTGGGGTGACCCCAAGGCGCGGGGCCACAATTGCCAGACACCCACTGACTTTCTGCTCTCCGGTGACCCTTGACATTTGGGTTTTATAGGGGGCGTGGGCAGGAGGCTGGGAGAGTTTATTATTTCCTGTGTTTCCAACTTGGTCTTCCTCTGAGTGGTCCCGCAGGGGGGCTGGGGAGATGATATGTATGTATGTGCATGTTTGATGCTTGCAAAGAGTGTTTTTAGGTCTCACTGCAGCTAAAATGAATGATGGGATAATTAATTCTTTCAGAATGCAACTATTTACTAGAATTTTACGTCCAGCACTCATCCAAAGGTCTTGTGGGTAGTTGACAGGGCATTGCAGTATGGTTGCTAAAATGCTCTTGTTTTAGCACAATGCTATGCAATGAATGGTTGCTAGAGCATTTTTTAGGTGGATTCTAAGGTGTTCTGAATGTTTGCTAGGTGGAGAGCCCACTCCTAAGTTTGGTCCCAAGCTATGACTCTGATTTGTGCTTCAGTGTAATTTTATGGGATTTTTCTTTTTGCCCATTTTATTGTCTATCAGTTAAGTCGGTTGAGCTGTCATGTTTTTAATACACTATGAGAAATGGTAGCTAATAGTGCTGCTTGTCACAGCAAGCATTGCTAAAGAAAAATGTTGAAGAGAAATAAGCAACACAAGAGGAGGTGTATAATGTGTATAAATTCGAGCGTGTGTGTCATGTCACAGACCTGTTCAGCCTAAGTGATCTCACCCAGGCATAACCTCTTTAATTTGACCCAGTCGAGTGGCCTGTCCTTTGGGCTGATGTTGGGCTGGGCACAGAGCCCCATGGCACCCACAGTGTGAATATCACAGCTGGGCGGCCATTGTCTGCCAGCCCCCGACCCAAACTACACTCGCAGACCAGGATCCTGTGATCAAAGGCCCTCCGGATTAACGCAGCCCAGATACAGAGGACTGGCGCTAGGGGAGGGATGAGTTCAAAAGCAAAGAGGAATGCTCCTAATTACGATTCTTTCACTCTTTTCCGTGTCTCACCCTTTGGGCGCTCCCCTTGTCTTTCTTTTAGGGCGTTTTGAGACTGTGTGTGAGTGTGTGAACACCATGTGGAGGCTCTTCAGGCTACAGTGAGTCTGTGAGAAAGCAGTGCACTGTGACTGGATAGTGATATTAAGAGTAGACCACAAGCAGACTCTTTTAATGCAGTCCATCGGAGACGGGCAGAAATGAAGGGGGCAAGGGAGAAGAAGGATTGTAGGTTGAGGGTGAGTGAGGGGGTGCAGAAGTTCAGGAATTTCTGTTTCACTGGAGAAGTGCTCTGTGGGAATGGGTCGTAGATCAACAGAAAGCAATTTCTCTTTGGGGGAAGGCTGTGCGAGATCAAGGCATTCATAAGTGGATGCGTCATAAAGGTTATTGAAAGTATTGTTTGGGATTAACTGTGAAATATTAGGTTTTGTAATTCCTACAAGCTGAGCTTCTCGACCAGCTACAGATAGAAAGATGAAATCAGTGCTACTTTTGTATCTGTAGAAAGAGTATGTGGGTAACTTTTATTATTGGTGTTTGTTGAGGCACTCCAACTAGTGATCTGAGCAAACCCCTATAGTATTAAACTTCTTTGCACACTTGACATCCTTTGTCAATTGTACTATAGTCATGAATACTACAAACACTTTCTGAGGGGAGATTTACTGTGACCTTTCAAAGTAGTTTGTGTTTTTTTTGTGTATGGTTTTATCATTGCATAATAATAATATGAGCTAAAATAATCATAAAGACTTGAAATAAAGGAGCAACCTAAAACATATCTTTGGACTCAAATATTTTAGAGACACCATATCAACCACCTAGTGATGCACTTAAACCACTCAGAACAACTGTAATTTAATATGCACATTATTATTTCAGCTAATTTGATCATTGTTTCTGCTAGCAATAGCTCTCTCAGCTCTGACACATTTGACTGTATTTAAATCCACTTTACAGAATTATGAAGGATTCTGGAGCTTTTCCTCCACAGTCAACACAAAATATGTGGCAAAAGTGTCCACATTTTATGTTCTGCTGTCATATTGTTGTCATTACTGTTGCATGAACCAAGCTAAACCATGTGATTGACTGAGTTCAGTCTTTTCAAATATTGTATTGCCCATGATGCAATACAACAGTTTTTAATGTTTCTGAATTGTTTTTATGTGTTTCAGGCGTGCAGTGTGTGTGGAGGGGGTGTGTGTGAGGCCCCAGGTTAGTTCACAGAGGTGAAACAGCGTCATGGAGGACAGTGGCCTGAGATTATTGTCCGCTGTGCTGTGTGTCTGCCATACCCTGCTCCTCAACTGCCCATGTTAGTAACACCTGTGTGCAATGATCCAAGCTAGTCTAGGAATATTTATGGATTATGGTCTGTTGATATAATTATTTTCTTTATTTTCCCCCATGTCTCTCTCCTTCAGCTGTCCTGTCTCTCTCTTTTCATGTGGAGCCTCTCTCTGTGGTACAGAAGCAGGGCAGTGCGGTCCACTTGCGCTGCACACATATCAACCACCTAGTGATGCACTTAAACCACTCAGAACAACTGTAATTTAATATGCACATTATTATTTCAGCTAATTTGATCATTGTTTCTGCTAGCAATAGCTCTCTCAGCTCTGACACATTTGACTGTATTTAAATCCACTTTACAGAATTATGAAGAACCCAGAGCCTGATCAGGGTTGCAGATAAGGCTGCATTATTCAGTGGAAAGCACATGTTCTCTGCCACTCACAATCCAATATAAACACCTCTTTGACAGAAGGTCTTTGTGTGAACTGCTGCTACTATGAATGAATATTCCAGTTTATTGCAAAGCTCTCGCAAATGTTTGATTCTGATCGGTTAGTTGCCACATTCTTTGGTCAGATATTTTGTATAATGATTGCTAAACTGTATAATTGACTGTTGTCAAAGGTAGCCAATTACGAAACTAGCTGTGCTACTTTCATATCTCTCATATCACTCCACAGCTTCCTTCTCCATCTCAAAATCAATATTTTATGTTTGTTTATTTGTTTACTTCATATGTAATCATGTAAAAAGCAGGACAATGTACAATCAGCTGGTCATATTGCAAAATTGTACGTGTGTTGCTTTGAAGCACTTGAGCACTCTTTTGCTTTCTTCATTCAGATATTGAGAGGTTTGCTGAGACCCATCGGAGGACATTTACTGTAAATAAGGGGGAAACTGCTGTTATCGAATGCCCACTTCCTCGCAGCAATCCATCTGCTCTGCCACGCTTCCGGATACGGGGGAAATGGCTGGAACAGTCTACAGGTACAGACTAGAGAGCTTCAAATGCCAAACCCTCCAGAAACACTTGATAATACTGTTGAACATTTTGAGAGTTTGTTTCTTTTTGTCTGTTTTCAGACGAGTATTTAATCCTGCCCTCTGGGAACCTTCAGATTGTGTCAGTGTTTTCAGAACACCAGGGCATGTATAAGTGTGGTGCTTATAACCCTTTAACCCGAGAGACTCAAGTAGAGGCTCATGGCACTAAACTCATGGTCAGAGGTTGGTTGAGCAAACTCTTACTAGTTTTTCTCTAGGTACCACAAAGATTTGAGAGTTATACTTCCCATATCATATTCATACTATATAAGTTTTGCTACAAAATCAGCAGCTATATATTCTGAGATGTTTTTTCTGTTGTTAGATATTGGGTGTATACTGTAAATTACAATAGCAATATTTCCTAATGAAGGAATAATGTGATTGCACTCTTTTTTTTTTCCATGTAGATTCAGAAGGCCCTTCACCTATAAGGATCGTCTATCCCGTCACCCCTCGCAATCTTACAGTGGACCAGTCTGGATCTCTGACCCTTGAATGTGTCATATCAGGAAGTCGTTCTTCAAAGGTCAAATGGATTAAAGATGGGGCGGAGCTTTCTTTGAATTCCAAATGGATGCTGTTGCAAAGCAACCTGGTGTTGCATGATGTTCAGCTGAGTGATGGAGGACATTATTGCTGCTCTGTTCTGACTGACCGTGGAGCTGTGGTCAGTGTAATCTACACTGTGAATGTGCTTGGTAAGGAATAATATTTATATTCCATCATGTCACCAAGGTTTGGGGCATCTCAATCCATGTAGTTCAGATTATATGGAATCACTGGGTAATGTTCCTTGCATGAAGGGTCTGAGTTATTGTTTCATTCAACTGCGAAATGAATTTCAGAATTTCCAATTTTCATACATGGGAAATATGCAATAAAATGGTACATGATGTCCAACTTGGAAACTTATATAAAAATAAAACCTGTTTATACTCCTGCACAACAAATGCTAGCATTGCCATTTTTGATTCTTTATACATACTTTACTTACAATGAACAACAAAATGATCATATGTTAGAAATATTAAGTAGGTTAGTACTTACTTAGTACTTCATGGAGAATAGTTGTATTATTTCGTTGTGTACAATAACTCCAGCACGCTTCCCCTCTTTACAGCGCAAGTAAGCGTCCTGCAAGGTTTGTCAGATCAGTCTGTGACTGTAGGCTCCTCTGTAAGATTTACCTGTACTGCCAGTGGTAGTCCAACCCCCAACATCACATGGCTCCTCAACTCCACCCCTCTCGCTTCTTCACCCCGCCTCCAAATCGCTGGCCCCTCCCTTCACATCTCTTCAGTAATGGTTCAAGATCAGGGAATATACCAGTGCCTGTTTGACAATGGAATTAGCTCTGCACAATCGGCAGGAAGACTCAGCGTCCAATCAGGTAAGACGATGCACCCTATAGCAACAATCCAGAACACACTAACAAAAGCCTGGCAACTACCCAGAACACCCTGGGTAATTATAAATTCTTTAAAAGAGAATTTTACTAGCAGAAGTACCAGAAGATACAGGTTTACTGTAGAGTGAGTTGGGACTGTATATCCTTCCAGCAGGGCAGAGAGTTTAGCTGGAGGTTGGCTGGAGAAGGGGTGCTGGGGTGGGTGTACAGTATTTGGCTGGCAATGAGAAGGCTGTGAGAGTGAGCTTTGTGCGTGCTGTTGGGGATAAGCTCTTGGACAGCGGAATGTAAGGAGTAACTGCACAAGGTTATGACGAGGACCAGACCACCCAGCTGTCAACATCACACACAACTAGCCCTATATTTATTAATACTCATCTCTCTCACACACACAGCCCTCCCCTGCCCTCCTCTGAGGCTATTCCTCAGCCTTGCTCTGTGTCTCCAAACATGATTGATAAGCTTAGAGATATGCAGACTTCAGAATAGATAAAACATGACGGAGGTCTTTTCCAAATGTTGGCTCGTATCGTTTTTTTCCTGGCTCGGCTACATGGGTGATTTATTTCGCACTGATAAAATGCAGGTCAGTGTAAAAGCAGAGTTGTTTATGTTAAATGGCAAGATTTGAGATAGATACGTGATCCGTAGGCCGCTGGAAAAAGAAGAAACGGCGTTAGACGTGATCAGCTCTGGGCCTGGGAAAAAACTTTGTGGATTTAATGCTTTAGATTTAGCCGAGGATACTGACTGGACTTGTCTTTTTAAAGACCCCATGAAATGTCTTGACGTGCAGTTTAATTTCCTGATTTTTTTGTAGGCTTTAGTTTGTCACAACAATGAACTGTGATTTGCTGCTTACTGTTGCTAGTCAAAGGCAGGTGGAATCTCATTCTAGAGAGCATTTGATTGGACACAAATTTGTATATGATCCTCTAAACAAGATCAATACTTTTTTTTTTTTTCATATTAGAGAAATAAAGCCATTTTAAATGCATTATTTGCTACAAGTTAGTGTACCTTTTAGTGTACATAAGACCTAAAAGACCACAAAATGTCAAATGTTGAATGCATGGGGTCTTTTAGTTGACAAATTCATAGCCCACAATCCTGTTCCCTCCTGAAAGCGGCATCTGTGTGGAGGGTGACTCTGTAACTCTCTCTTGTGGAAAGCCACTTCCTGTTACCCGTTGGTACAACTCTGCCGGTCCAATCACCACACATTCCGTCCTGCTACTTCAGCCTCCAGCGGCAGGCAGGTCGCCAGTTGACAACGCTGCCCACCTTACCTTGTCTTGTGCTGGCAGCAGCAACCTGTACATCCAGACTGTGACTTCCTCTCATGCTGGGCGGTATACATGCTAAGCCTCCAGTGAGCTTGGCTCAGCCCAGGCAGAGGTGTTTTTGACAGTGGGATCACAGTCTGAAGCCGGACCATTCCTCTCCAAATCGCTTTCTGTGTCTCTGTCTCACCCTTGTAATGTTTATATTATACCCACCACACCAGTCATTAATGATCACACACAGTCAGGCACATGTGAGTCACAAAGGAGAAAGATCTACTGTACAGAAAAAGAGAGAAGATCAAAGCATCAGGACAATATTTACTGGATCATGCTTTCATCAGTGGTATTTGTCAAGGCAAGCATCGCTATTACTATTGCTCATACTTACGATTAGGGATTTGAACAAACCCGTAACCGAAGTATAAGGTTTGGCTCCAGTAGTGTTTGTGCTATGGAAATTAATTATACCTCAAGTTGTCTGGTGGTTGATAGAACTGTTAAAAAAGACAGTGGGTCTGTCCCACTACGCACACTTGCGGCCTTTGCACTTGACCACTTGTCTACTTATATGAACACTTGGGCCAAATACCGAAAATATGTAAAGTAAGCGTGAAGACCAATTATGTGTACAATTTTCGATTACCTGATGGGACAGACTTACATCATAGTGTTGTAATAATGCAAATAAAGTATTCACTTTACTTTTGACTCAACGTTTGACTTACTTTTGGACTGCTTTTATATACATTTTGATTTTCAATACTTTGCACTTTACTAAATGTCTGTTCAGTAGTCCAGATAGACAGATGCAAACATTTTACAAAATACGCATACTCATCTCTGCACCAATAAAATGTGCAACATATTACGTTTTACTACCAACTTATATGGAATATTTAATTGATTTAACTTGCTCTGTAGAGTGTTCCTGGAATTCTTAGGATTTCAGGGAAGGTGAGTTCCTGAACATTAATGATGGGATACACTGACTTAGCCTTAAATACTGTTCCTAAGTGGTTTTAGAGATAGTGTGGACTTAATAGTGTGTGTTGAGGGCACTGAGGTTTGGTGTTTTTCAGATCTGGGACAGTCTTTTGCACTTCCTGATGCGAGTACGCAAGTGTTGGTATTGGGACAGGCCCATAGACTTACTTTGAAGGTGGTATCTGAGTCAAATTTAGTGACTAGAATATCATACTGACTTGAAGGTGAGGAGGGTGCCAGTAAGCAGCTGCATAGAACAGCCTCACAATGTCCTAGCAACCACACTGAACACCCTAACATGATTGGAACCCTAGCAAACAGGACATGATTGGAAGGTGGGTTTGAGAGCTGGTGTAGGACTCTGATTCACTCTGGTATTTTAATGGCCGAAGGGTGGAATGTGTGGCGGCTGGCGTCGGGCCCAGTTTGAGCTCTTGTGTTACTGACTCTGGGACTGTTTGTTTTGTAAGGTAAACCAGTGCCACGCACCCAACAACTGAGAGCAAGAGACCCTAAGAACCAGCAACAAACCATACCTCTTGTACAACTGCTTTTCAGCTGTTTAGCTTGGATTATTCAGTTGCTATCTGACCGTTACTCAGCGGTGACTTGAATATTGTAATATATACAACGCTCATGGTGTATGTCTACTCGCACAGAAAAGGAACCCACATGTATGCAAGTCGTCTTTCACTAAATCCAAGTTCACAAAAATTCTGCTCAGATGATTGGCTGCCAAGCCAGTGTCAGAAGCACAGATTCCCAAATGGACCATTTGGGTGGGGTTTAATAAAAATTAATTAATTAATAACAGAGCTTTATTGTATGTTCCCTTTGAGGTTCCTGGCTTTTTATTTTAATGCCAGTGAAAAAGTAGTTTCCAGGCTTGCATATTGCCAGAGTGCTATAGCTGTGTTTAATTATCCTATATACTAATATTTGAAAAGTAAAATGGTAACACTTTATTTTAACGTGACTTAGTTACAAATGTTACATATACTTACTATAGTAATAACAGTATATTATGCATACATTATGCATTACAAGCAACATACCCTAACCCTAACCCTAACCTTAACCCTATAGTAACACTATATTAAGTACTATAGTAATGTAGTTAATTAATATTATTTGGTACTTATTTGTGTAATTACACTGTAACAACATGACTTTTAAAACAGTGTACTGGTAAAATGAATAACATTTTAGAATAATTAAAATAATTAACTATTAAAAAAATAAAAAGTATATCTAAAAAAAAAATCTAATAAAAAGATAAGATTTATGACCAAAATTGTTCTTTTTCCCCTACAGAACCCCAGGCTAGTTCCATGTCTGGAGCTCTCATGGAGACGCAGCCTTCTGTCTACCCTATCCAGAGCGATGAGAGTGATGAACTGTTCCCCTCCATAGGGGAGGAGGGGATTGGTGAAACTATAGGAACGCCCACCGAGAGAATAAGCGACAAAGCTACGCCAGAAGCACCAATCATAATCAGCCCACCACAAACGCACAAACCCAACATGTATGATCTAGAGTGGCGAGCAGGTCGGGACTGGGGCATCCCTATCAATGCATACTTCGTTAAATACCGCAAGGTAAGAAATCATAAAGTACGCTTGTAGATTTTCCGTTATGAATGTTTTACTGATGTACTTTAAGTGGGCCACAAAATGTAGATAATCATTACCTCGTCAAGAATGACTGAATCTCGCTCCACCCTCTTCTTTTCCCTTGGCGTTAGTTATCAGGTCAGATTTATAGTTATTAGATTTGAGAATGAGCACATACTCATAACAACGCCCTGTGCCGTTTACTGTAAAAGGCAGTGCTAACACAATTCAACAGTATCTGCCAGCCAAGAGCGTTTTGGTAAGAAGTTGGTAATTTCCTCTTTTAAAGCCTGTGTTTTCTTCAATAATAAGCTCCCTTGGCTAATAAAACTTCTCTGGTTCTTTTCAAGATTGCATTGGCAGCGTTTGTCACATTGGCTCAGGAAAAAGTGACACAGCTTGTGCTCTCAGGGATAGTTGAGTGGGTTGATCTTTTGACATGATTCAGAGTAGGAGAATAAGAAAGACGTTACTGTTCTTTGTTTAACTTTACGTGCAGTATGTGCAAAGTCAGACACAGAATATGAGGCTTGAAAGGTACGCCTGTGTGCATGAGATCACTACATACGGTTAGACTGTCACCTGAATGTCCCTGTAGGTGGATGACATGGGTAATGTAGTGGGGAACTGGCACACGGTGCGAGTGCCAGGCAGTGAGAAGTCTCTGCCCCTGTCTGAGCTGGAGCCGTCCAGCCTATATGAGGTTCTGATGGTGGCCCGTAGCGCTGCAGGACAGGGCCAGCCCGCCATGCTGACCTTCCGCACTGGAAAGGGTGAGAATACAGTCAGCATTTCACCCAGCTGAAGAGCTTATGTTTGGCTTTGATTACATCAGAACTAGATCATAATTCAGTGAATCTGAGCTGTGGAAAATAGGTCAAGAATTGTGGTTTGGGTTAGAAATGAATGCCTTATATCACATATAAACCACCGTTCACAAGTATGGGGGTCAGTATTTTTATTTATTTTTTTGATTGAAACAAACTTATACTTTTATTCAGCAAAAGATGCATAAATTGATCAAAAGTGACAGCAAAGGTAATTCATTTACAAAAGATTTCTACTTCAAATAAAGTATGTTCTTTTGAACTTTCTATTCTTCAAAGAATCCTGAAAAATGTCATGATTTCCACAAACATATTAAGCAGGACAACTGTTTTCAACATTCATGATAATAATAAATGTTTCTTGAGCACCAAATCAGCATATTAGAATGATTTTTGAAGGATCATGTGATGTGAGTTTTTCCAACACACAAATAAATAGAAAAAAGAAATAGACAAAAAGAAAAGAGTTTTAAATTATAATAACATTTTACAATATTAATTTTTTTTTACTGTATTTTTGAGCAAATGAATACTACCTTGGTGTGCATAAGAGAAAAAAATCTTACCAACCCCAAACTTTTGAATGGTAGTGCATGTATGTTATTATATTATACTTTTACATTTTTACGTAATTTACAGTAATAAAAAAAATTATTATATGATGCATTGAATTTTTATGATTGCATTGGCAAATATTTGTATATTTTCTAGCTCATGCATGTTCTAGAATTAAAGTAAACATAGGAAAGAACTTTTGCCTTTGCCACTAGCTGCTCATAATATACACTCGTAGTTTGGTAAAAGAAAAAAAAATTCCAAACCATGTTTTCCATTAGGATACAGCATGATCACCAACAGTAACATTATTAATCAAATCATAACTTGTCTTACTCTTCTTCTCAGAGAGAACTTCCTCCAATAAGAACCCCTCCAAGGCTCCAATTGTGTCCCTTCCAGAGAAAGCACTGGAAGATAAAACCACTAACACTTATTATGGAGTGGTCATACATGACAGAGGTAAGAGGACGTCCCACAACACTATTACACCATAAAGGTTTGACTTCTGCTTGATTGATGATGATCAATGATGTACTTGCCCTCTAAGAGTAGTTCACCAAAAAAATGAAAATCCTCTCATATGTGTTCTGTGGAGCAGAAGAGTGTTCATGCTACTTTTTCCATACAGTGAAACTATATTGTGACCAGGCACTGTTAAGCACCCAAAAATAAAAAATAAATAAATAAATTTGAGTCCACACAAATAGCGTGTTTGATTTTAAGTCTTCTAAAGCCATATGATACCTTTCTGGTCCCACTATGCTTAAATATATGGAAAAGAGTGCAAGAAGATTATTTTGTGTTCCATATCAAACTATGACATGAGGGCGAGTAATTGGTCACTTGGGTTGAAGTATTCTTATTGCACTTGCACAGATGTGTGAGATGTATTTCTGTAATTAGAGTTTGAGTGTGTGTGTGTGTGTGTGCACATTTATATTCTAAAGGGTATGAACTCACTTTTATTTGCCACATAAATTTTGCTCTGTCTTTCTCTCTCTGCTTGCGTCTCTGTGTCTATGGCTCAGAGCCCATTCAGTAAGTACTCAATTGACTCTGGCATGCTGTCGTCTGTTGTGTGTGTGTGTTGGTTTATTTTATCTTTGTCTGCTCTTTTGGTCTTTTCATTGATGGATGTTAAGGTTACTACATTTTGCACTGCTGTTTTTCTTAGGGAAAACAATAATTAGATCTTAGTTTGCATTACTTGTTTTTTCAAACTTCTAATTGGTTGGTTTCATCCCTAAGTTCCCGAGGCCCCAGACCGCCCAACTATCTCTATGGCGACAGAAAGTTCTGTCTATGTTGCTTGGATCCCACGAGCCAATGGTGGCTCTCCAATCACGGCCTTTCGCGTGGAATACAGGAAGCAGGGCCGAAGTGGAGACTGGATCATCGCGGCTGATAATATCTCACCACTTAAACTGTCTGTGGAAGTGCGCAACCTGGAACCAGGTGAGGTTACACCAGGGTTCCCACAGGTTGATTCCCAGACCTTATTAATATTATTTAAATATATTATTTGGGTCACACTTTAGTTTGGGGACCAATTCTCACAATTAAATAACTATTAATTACGACTTTTGCCTCAATATTATTATTAGGAGTTAGTAAGGTAGTTGTTAAGTTTAGGTATGGGGTTGGATTAAGAGATGTAGATTATGGTCATGCAGAATAAGGCATTAATATGTGCTTTATAAGTACTAATAAACAGCCAATATTCTAGTAATATGCATGCTAATAAACAACTAGTTAATAGTGAGAATTAGTCCCCACACTAAAGTGTTACCATTATTTGTTATTTGAATAATCATGGATAAATACATTATATTATGTTTTAATTAATAATAAAACATTTTTTTTAATTATTAACAATTAAAAAGTGAATGGAAAATGTATTATGTAGTTAGCTAGTAATTAATTTTTTTTTTCCATATCTGTGTGTAAATCCTGTTACACATGACATGCACTTGAAAATGTGAAAACCTAAGAAAACCACTTCCAAATCTGGTCCAATTTACTGGGGACATAAATGTATGATGAGTATACTACGGAAATATAAAAATTGAATTTAGTCTAATAAATCTTTTCATGACAGGTACCACATATCGTTTCCGTGTCATTGCCATGAATAACTATGGTGAAAGCCCTGCTAGCGCCACCTCCAGGCCATACCAGGTCTCCCTGTCGAGTCCACCCGTGTCAAACCGTCCGATCACTGGCCCTCACATCTCTTCCACTGACGCAGTGAGCGATACTCAGATCATGTTACGCTGGACTGTGAGTACACTTGTGAACATGCACATGAATGCTGTACTATACACTGTCTGCTAAATTAAGTACACTAACTCTGCCCCTAAACTTGAGCTGCCCATCGAGACAGCATTTTAAGGGTGCACTGCTGACACAAAGGCTGTTGCCTTTAAATATGCTATCATTGTAGCTAAAATAAAGGCAGCTGTGAATGGAGGCAGTAGAGAGCGAAGCAGCTCACTAGGTTTTGGAACAGTTTCTGTTAGGCACTCAATAACTCATCACTGAATAAACTGTGAGTTTTTCTATCATTCCGTGCTTCTGTATGTGTATTATTAGCACATTAATCTTAAAAAGGGTCTCACCACTTGTACAAACAAATGTTGTTTCTGTTTCTGGCCTGTTGAAGGAATAACCCTGAACCTCATATTAGCAGCTCAGGGGTTTAAACTAATGTATGTGTGTGTTAATGTTTTAGACATACAGTATGTCTTTTATATCTAATGGCCAATTTAATTATACTCACATTTCATGCTTAATTTGAAAATGAAAGCGTAAAAATTGTCTAGAACTAACCACATAACAAGCTCACTCACAACACGCCTCCTCGGTTTGTTCTTCTCTGCAGTCCCAGTGGTGCCGAAGTGTTTTTCAGCACACAGAGTATTTGCGTGTGCACTTTTCCAGGCGCTGTGTAGTAGCTTTTCCCATCAGCCCCTGAGAGCCACCCCAGAATGTCCAAACAGACCTGTAATTGGCAATGGTTACTGGCTTTGCAGGAAAATGTGTGTGAGAGTCCAGTACAGATTAGGAGGCCTTATCCAGCTCTAATGAGTGGAACGGACTGAGTTGAGCTATTTTTAGAAGACATGCATGAGGTGAAAAGATTTGATGTGTCTTAAAGGAATAGTTCATCTAGAAATGGAAATGTTGCCATTTACTTACCTTCATGTTATTCCAAACCTGCCTGACTTTCTTTTGTGGAAAAGCAAATTTACTGTTTGTTCTTGTCTGTGCAGTTACAATGACTTGCATTTGAAACTTTCATGCTTGGAAAAATAACATAAAAACATCATAAAATTAGTCTATGCAACTTCTGCAGTTCAATTCAGGTCATACAATAACTCTGTCATTACTGACTGATAATCTGGATCCTGGATTGAATCAAGAGTTGAACTTGAGAAACGAATCATTTGGTGAATCTGGTCAACTACCTCTTTGAAAAGATTAAATGATTGAATGAAGAATTCATTTTTTTGTGAATTTTGGGAAGAGAACACCGAGGACAATCTGCTACACCTCATGCATTTTTGGAGTGACATTAGGCTGCATACATAAAAACAGAAATTTTATTTTACTCTTTAGCTAAAAGGTTAGCCAATCATAACAGAGGTCATTATTGTCTAGAAGTCTTAAAGAGACTTCAAGACAAAAAAAAAGTATCCTTCAAAGGTCAGAAAATGGTCATGTAAAACTAAATTAGGACTGTTTTTGGTGCAGTAAACAATGCCTAATATTATTAGTAGTCTTCAGAAAATAAAGTCATGCAAATGTGTACATTATAGCCTTTTTAAATAGAGCAGGATGTCTTGATTCTAGTTAAACTTTAGTTATTTATAGTAGCACATGCAGCTTTCACGCGCATCTGACTGACAGAACCGCTGTATTGCTGTTAATGGTTA